CCGCATCGCCTCATCGCCCTGAGTTAAAGGTGCCAAGCTATTGGATCTATTGCGGGAATTGTGCCACAGTGCTGTGTGTCACCTAAAGGAATTCCCAGTTATGACTGGGAATTAGCTGGGAAGTACTGGGCTGTGCCCGGACGTGACGGCTTACCCCGTGCAGACGGATAGGTGTCCGTAGTGTGTTGCGTATAGTGCGTGAATATGGCGTTTTGTCGTTCGGCGTGCTCATGCTGTCACTTCCTGATTAGATATATATACTCTTGCTTTTTTAGTGAATGCTGAGGATGTCGGAACAGGTCGGAAGGCGGGGGTCTGTTTAATGGCAGCCCATCAGAAGCCCTAAAACTCCTCCAGGTGATTTCCGAGTGGGAATGACACAGGATGGGAGGGATTGAGCCGTAAATTACCCTGCCATGTGCATATTGGATGAGGTCAGGAGGTTGAGGGTGGGGCTTGGAACCTCCTGGTTCGTAGAGGCAGTCAGTGACATTGTGAGTCATAAGAGTCACAAGGCAATCCCCCCCCCCCCTAGCCTGTGGGAAGGGCGGAGTCCGGGCTGAGCAGCTTCCTCCCATAGGTGGTGACCGTATGGGATTCAGGTCCATTGGTGCTTCCAGCGATACTCTGCCATGGCTGCTTGTGATTGGCCAGGCTGTATAGAGTCCCGGCTCCCCCTGTGGTTGCTGTCTTAGCTGATTGACTTTCATTGTTCTTTCTCATCTTACCCTAATGGTCGAAGTCCCATCCTCACCAGGCTTTTAGTCCGTTTTGACATTTTGACTTTATGCCTCTGGATCTGTATCTGTAGCATTTTATTGTGTCAGGTGATAAGTCACATGACATTCCTGAGCCATGTCATGTGGGGTTTTGCTCCAACAAACCTGCACAAACTGAGCTTTTGAAGGTCGTGAGCAGTCTGGGCTATATGGCCGCTCCTCTTCACTGTAATCCTCAAAGAAAGTGCTGGTCTTCCAGGCTCCTCACCATCCCTCATGTTTTCTCCTTGTGTCTAGAAAATGGAAATGGCCATGGAGCTCCTTGTGATCTTCTGATGATCTGTGTCTAGATGGCGGCCACTTCTCAGCCACGAGGCTGTCCCTGCACCTCCCGCGGCTCCCGGCGCGCCGAGCGGAATTGAAATTCCAGAGATCAAAGTGGACCTACAGCACACGGATGCTCGACACGCCGTGCGGTCCCAGATAGCTAGCGGGAAATTACCATATGCTATTGTGGCACCTGAGGCCCCTTGTGGTGCATGGTTTATCATCTCATTGTCGGGACACGGGCTGTGTGTTCTCCAGCCTCCCCCCCCCGGGGGGAATCGTGCGGAACTTTGGAAGTCTTGACGTACCTGTGAGTTTGGCTCCCCCCAAGCACCAACTAAACCGTCCTTCGGGTGCTGCTGTAGTGCGACTGTTGCCTAGCAACACGTCGGATGAAGGTGCGGCACGAGCCCTGTGGGTGGCCTGGTACGCGGTTCCTGCCGGCGGCTGCCCATCGAATAGTCCAAAGTGACGTGATTGGTTAGCTGATAACGCCTCAGCGGACAAGCGTGTCAGACGAGATCTCGAGTTGGTCAGTCAGCTTCTTGGCCCTCTAAGATGAGAGGCCATGTACAGTGACAGAAATGTTTGCTCCTGGGGTGAGAGCGTGAACAGCTTCGAACCTCGCAAATGTTTTGGTTTGTCATGAACGGCAAAATGCACACCCCCCATCATCTCCCCCCCAGTTGCCTGACATTCACAATCGAGAAATCTTTCCTGTCTTCCATAAATTGTTGATTGGCGACGATTGTGTTTGGTTAAGTGCATTTTCGCTTGCTTGCCTCATCTTTTTAGCGTCCATGTTACCCAACAGTGACCCCTTTGTTTTGAAAAACAACCCGGGTCTTTCTCGCTCTCTCTCCTGCGTGAATCGATCGCAGTTTCACCAGAGACTGCAGTCCGAGTGCAGATCTCTTTGCTGCTTCTGTTATGTGTTGGAATTCTGAAGGTGGGGGTGGAGGAGATGTAGGTGTTTGGGGTTGCCAACAATCTCTGATGAATCCATGTATTCCAAGAAGACCGAAGTAGAATCTCCTACAGGGTCAACCAAACCCCAAACTTTACCTTTAGGTTCATTTCCAGTCCGTATGTATTCATGTCAGAAAAAGCTAACAATTGGGGCTCTTCTGGTGACGTAGTTAAACTGCTGATTGGATTGTCAGGTATGAGAGGCAGGGCTTAACGTTAGGGGGCAGGTACAAAAAATTGAAAGTTTCTCTGGCTTAAGATTCATAACAGGCTCTATCCTCTTTATCCCTCTTGGTCCACACTTACTACCACACTTTGCGTATACGTCCATTCACTTAAAGCAAGTGTTCAAGGGTGTCCCATCCGTCAAATAAGCCAAGTGCAGCTTGTTTCATTTGCACTTCATCCACACTTCGACAAATACCACATGGAAATGGTCTTCGGTCAAATATATAGAACACAATGCCTCACATCAGTGATGACTAATATTTACGTTGAAGATGAGGAAGTCTCCCGGTTTATCAAACCCTAGCATGCTTCCAAAGAAGATTTGGAGTAAATAAGCAAAGTTGTATAACAAATATTTACATAAGCTAGGCTAAAGTAAAGGACAACCCCAAACACAAACACAAATGACATCATAGTCGTAGTGTGTCTCTTGTTTACCTATTTAAAAATCAAGTGTGTCCCATTGGTTTCAAGAAATCACTGTGCACTTGGGCTTTTTACATACATTTGCACACTCTGCGTCGTATGTCACACATCACTACAGTGTGTAATTTCTCAGCACGCTTGGCCTTAAGTGTGTTGAATGGGACTGAGCCACAATCTCCAAGCTGTACCTTAGGTCACTAATTATGGCGGACAAATGCTAGCTGTGCTCAGGAAAGAGCGAACAGCAAAAGCGAGAATGTTAATGCAGCTTTTAATGGAGCTGAAACTCAAATGGGAAGAGATACGACCTTTAATCATTTTGAGAAGGCAGGTTTTTCTTATTCACTATCCCTCTGCCACAGTGGGGCCTCTCGTTTTTCGGCTCTTCGGCTGCCAATATTCCCCGCGTGTCCTGATTCATTCCACCAGAACCCGGCAACACAGAGTTGCACCTCTGTCGAGGATGCCCGCCGTGGGCTCGCTGCCAAGGTGACACCCGGGGGGGGGGCCCTGCAGGCAGCAGGAAGGGTGGCCGTCCTCTGCAGTGCGCTCGACCTTGTCATGATAAGATCCTTTATCGAATCTGGTGATGTTTCCCCCCTGGCGGCCGCTGCTTAAAGACTCAGCACCTTTCTGTCTGAGGACGTCCGCTGGATCTGTTCCTTTGTAAGCTAAGAGGAGTCCTTTTCCACTGTGAGGTCTTTGAAATGCGTTAGCAAGAAAGGGCTGACTGTTAATCTGTTCTGCAGCAAAGCCTCACACTGCCATTGTGAACTCCTAATCTCCTTCTATCCCCGTGTCTAACCTCAGGTCTTAACCCCCCTGAAAACTTGTCATGGGCAGCAAAGCCCCCGGCTGTAGTCATTGTGGTGTGGTAGTGGTGGGGGTGGTAATTGTTAAAAAATTACGCTTGTTCAGAATTAGTGAGTTTTCCCAGTGGCTGGAGTATCGCGATGCCTCTTCCTGCCCCTTCTGATAGGCCTCGGCCAATCAGGTTATCCCACAGCCCTCTGACCAATCGGACTGCACAGCTATTCTTTGAGAAATACTGTGCAGTTATGCTGCTGCATCAGTAAACTTTTCTGGAAAAAAAGGTGGGTCCCATGAGGACAAAATCCACCAGGAACCATGTCAAGGACTTCATCCTCGGCTCTCTGGGAAATGGTCATGTGGTGGTTTATTTACCTTTGCATTTATTTATAAGACTTGACTTGGAATTTGGGTTAAAAGCCCTTGTTTAAAGCCCTGTCAGTGACATCATTCCACCAGCCACAGTATTTGAACCAGCAACCCCCTGATGCTACCCTACAGAACCACACACTATCACATATTTATTTTTATTAAGGTAAAAGTAAAAATGTGGTGTGTATTCTGGTATGATACATTTTTGAACGACTTTGTTCCTGGCATTCCTTTAGCAGAAGGTTCTGGACAATACTATGGCTGACAGTTTGTACAAGGCACACAGGTGGTGCAGATTTTGGGGGGAGCCCTTCAGCTGTTAGCTTTGCCCCCTCCATCAGTCGCCCCACCCATCTCACGACCCCCCCTCTTGTCTCCAGGGGAGGACTTTGCAGTGGTGCAGCAGGAGATCATCATGATGAAGGATTGCAAGCACTCCAACATCGTGGCTTACTTCGGCAGCTATCTCAGGTACCCCCCCCATCCCCCACCTTCCCCCCAGATTTGAGGTGTCACTGATGTGGTCTCTGCACATCTCTATAAGAGTCTGGATAATGAGGGAGTTATTTTTCACAGCTCTGAGGTGGGATATCACTTTGCCTACACTGTAGCATTTGTGAACGATTTGGGCAGGGGACAGGGGGTGGGGGGTGCAAGGGGAGGGGGATTTTAGTTGATCCACCCTAACACAATGTGACGTGACCCCTACAGATCGCTCTCCCTTTTCTCACCCTTTACGTCTCTCCTCGTTTGCTGAATTTGTCATCCCGTTTCGAGAAATATCGATTGCATATTGTTTTCCTGCCCATCTTCTAGGAGAGATAAATTATGGATATGCATGGAGTATTGTGGAGGAGGCTCCCTGCAGGATATCTACCACGGTAAGACCTGCGAAATGATATCATTTCACATAGGCTGAAGTTAACGTGACCTTGCGCTGACCTCACAGCTTATGGAAGAAGCGCTTCTGACGAATGGTCCTCAGAGATGTTTTCTGACCTTTCAGGGTAGGTGGGCATTGCAGGGCTCGGCAGGTGGATATAATTTGCGCATAGTTTTCCAGCACACCGCGGGCGATGGCGTCAGGCTCCGACTCCGTGCCCATGAAAGTTCTGGAATGTTCTCATGTCTCCACTAATGACTTGTAGCAGCTAGGGAGCGTCACCACGGTGACCCGCTGCGAGGAGTGGGAGGGCGAGCCTCAATTACCGCGCTCTTCGCTATCGGGGGTGTAGGAGGGCTGCTTATATCCAAGGCAGGTACTTTCCTGCTCATCTTCTTTTTAAATTCGCCCACCCTCCAGAGTCCGGTGTGGTGAAGCCTGGCTTTTTTGAGCGTTCCTCCTCAGCTTGGTGGGCGATGGCTGTTTTTGAGGGCTACAGTGTTGCAAGTAACATTATTACTACAGAAAACCAACGTTGGGATTGATATTAATTGGGAATCACGAAAGGCAAGGATGACCGCATCTTGAACCTTTGAATTGTTCAGCTTGCTATTCTGTTATACAGCGGCATCAGGCAAAGGGCATTTTTATTGGTGGAGTGCATTTAGGCACTGTCCTATCCGACATCCTCTTATAGGGCTCTCCCTCACACCATTGGCCAGATTGGAGGGGCGTGGCCTGAGACTGTTTTAACATTTCCTCTCTTATTCCTCCAGTGACGGGGCCCCTGTCAGAATCCCAAATTGCCTACGTCACACGGGAAACCCTTCAGGTGCGTGATCGCCCCCCGCAGATGAATTTGTGGAACTGCGCTTTCCATCCTGTTTTGAACCCTGGATCAACTCCTGCATGTCAGGGAACATCAACTCTGTGCTTCCTAAGTTGCTGAGCAAGCAGACGCATGTATTTTCCTACCAGCTCCCTCCCCGTCCCTCATCACGGACAGCACTGCACTGAATTTGAAGCATTTGCGTTGGTGGCAAACTACATATCTGAGTTTCTTTTTCTTTTTTTTCTTCCCCTTTTCAGGGTTTGAACTACCTGCACAGCAAAGGCAAAATGCACAGAGACATCAAGGTATGGTGAGGTTCCTGAGCGACCCAGCCGTTAATAATTGGGTCTAAAACCGATTTTGTGTTCTAAGGTGATATCTAGCCTGGCTAATTAGCCGCTACACTGCATTCCGCGTGTATCACCGTTCGATTGGCGCTACTTTCAGTGTGTGCTGTTGTTGGTTCACGCTTCGGTTCACTTAACTGAAAGGACTCTCTTATCTTGCGTTACTTACCCACAGTTAAATTGTTGCCGTATATTGTTCTCCCAAGGACTGAGAAACCAGTTTGACCCTGGCAGTCTTTATCTCTTACAGACACATGAAATACTTAGCAGTCGAGTCTTTGTTTTCATGTTGACGTCATTCTCGTTCCATGTGACCTGATGGCACAGATCTCCGTGCTTTTTTCTTTGGAGAGCCACACTTACACACCTCAGCAACACTTACCCTCCTCCTCATGTCAGTCTCTGCCGGTTTGTCTGATCTTTGGCTGTTTGTTTGTCTTCAAGGGGGCAAACATACTGCTCACTGACAACGGTTACGTGAAACTCGGTAAGTGCTTCTGCAACCTTGGCCGAGGTCATTGAGCCTAAAATGTAATTAATGCTTGCGGAAAGAGGGCATCACGATTAGCACAAGCTTTATGAAAATGTAAGTAAAATACTAAAGATGAATCATGGCGTTAAGCTAATGAAATCGATGAGCGGGGAACCTTGGCAGGCAGCCGGCTTCGATCCTGTCACTGGGAGATCGATCTGTTTGCGCTGTGGTTCCACCTGGGCCATGTGACCCTGAACTGGCTTTGCTTGGGTCACATGTGGAAGTTCTTGCTCAAGGGCTCAACTTTCCTGCAGCCCCCCCTAGTGTTGACTGGAGGGTCTGGGCAGGAAATTGTGTGTCCCATGTACTTTCTTTGCTGTTAATCAGGGATATGAACTTATCTGAAGGTTCAAATCCCATAAAGGGTACTGCTGATGAAGAATGTCAGTGATGTCAAAATGAAAAGGTGTTGAATCTCTGCTCTGTTCCAGCCGACTTTGGCGTCTCTGCTCAGATCACCATGACTCTGGCCAAGAGGAAGTCTTTCATCGGCACTCCTTACTGGTAACCTCCTCTCACCTGCTCCGCCCCCATCCTCGCCTCTGGGCCCCGCCCCATTCCTGAGGGCCATGTGCCGATTTCCTCCTGAGCATCTAACAGACGCAGAAGCCTGTTATTTCCACCGTGCGCCATCTCGGAGGCGACCAGAATGTTTGAGTGTCCCCTGTGGGTGATCTTCTGAAGATCAAGGCCTACTCACACTGAACAGGCTTTAAACCAGTGCCGTAGGCTTTGCCTTTCAGATACTCCTCAGAGGCCAGAGCCTGTGTTTTAGATCACCAATGGCATCTCAGATGCCTTAAGCATCTCTTGTCTTCCAGGCGTCTGGACTTCTGGATGTTGTAAATGCATTAGTTGTATGTGGGGGCTGGCAACCCCTAATCCAGTTTCCACGGTAATGCACTGCCCCCTCCTTTAAACAGGATGGCTCCCGAAGTGGCTGCAGTGGAGAGGAAGGGGGGCTACAACCAGCTGTGTGACATCTGGGCGGTGGGCATCACAGCCATCGAGCTGGCGGAGCTGCAGCCGCCCATGTTTGACCTGCACCCCATGAGGTGACCTCTGACCCCAGTGACCCCGTGACACGTGCATTTAATGTGCCAGTTCCTTACCATGAGCCTCTGTAACACACAGGGCCTTGTTCATGATGACAAAAAGCAACTTCCAGCCCCCAAAGCTGAAAGACAAAATGAAGTGGTAAGTAGCGTCAGGCTCGGAATGATGGGCGACTTGTGGCCTCGTCTGAAAAGTTTAAATGCTTTTTTTTTTTCCCAATATTTCAATTTATCGAAGGACAAGCAACTTCCACCATTTTGTTAAACTGTCCCTGACAAAAAACCCAAAGAAGAGGCCCACGGCTGACAAGCTCTTGCAGGTGGGTCACGTTTCATCTCTTTTTAAACACTTTCTGTTTTTATTTTTTTGACTGACAGGCTTGTTTTGGGGGGCGGTGCTTATTCGGCAGGCTATTCCCCGATTGACCGGCATTTCTAGTTGAGGTGTGATTGACAGCTCAGAATAGGCTGACGGTTCTCATTCAGGGCGTGATTGATAGTGTCAGATCGACACTTGGATGGAGGTGTGACTGACAGCTCGTTTGGCCGATGGCTCTGGATTTATTAGCAGCCTTTGATTAGCTGACAGTTCATTAACGGCCATGAGCTGGCTGCGCTGCCCCTCGCCCGGAGGTGGGACTGACCCCCTTGCCCTGCTTCCTCCGTTCCCAGCACCCCTTCGTCTCGCAGCCTCTCAGTCGGACCCTGGCCATCGAGCTACTTGACAAGGCCAACAACCCCGACCACACTGCTGACCCAGACCCGGACGACGACGACGCCGAACCCGAGGTGAGCCGGAATCTCTCACCATTCCTCATCTTCCTGTTCAGATTCCTAGACCAGCTGCGTTTCCGTATGGATCCCATTTCCGGGACAGCCCTCCTGGCCTTTCCTGTGCCTTGTCCTTCCCTGTTCCCTCACTCTCTACCCCAGTTCCAGCTTCCCATCGTTCCCAGTATAAGTTCTGGGATCTGTTTCTCCCCCTCTCTCCCAGGCTATGCTGGGCACATCACTTTGCGTCCTCCCAAAAGGTACCCCTCCCCCACCGGGCATGTGTCTCTGAACTCTGCCTGTTCCGGAATGTTCCCGGCTCTGTACCTAACCGCAGTTTGATTGGGATCCAGGTGACACCCAACAGTGTCCAGTTGTGACATTTTCTGTCTTGGTATCCGGTGATTTTCATTGTTAAATTAACGTTTGCAGGAGTGTTTTGGAAGTTTGTTCCTGACACAGGTTTGTTATGCATGGCATACATATAAAAAAGTCTTCATTTATTTAGGAGAAATTTAACCACCAGTAATTCTCCATATCCGCTGTTTGCTAACACACTGTGTTTGCACAACCTTTTATGAGAGTTCTAAAATTCAGAGTTCTATTTATAAAGTAAATAAATTATTAATTTCCATATTTGACTCTGAATTGTATGGCATTTGGAGAAAAGGCTTAATTGCTGCTTACATTTCATTTGGAATTAAAAAACTGCCCCCCCCCAGCTCCCCCCCCAGGAATTTTTGTGGCTCGAAGCTGATAAAAAATGCATCAGTAACATTTTAAGCCACAAGATTCCTTGCCTTGGGTTTTGTATTGTGCCCCCCCCCCCGCCCCCGTGTGGTGGTCGCCGAGGGTTATGTGGTTGTGTCGGTAAAGCAACATTCAGGTGGAGGCGGGTTGGGAGGGTCCTTGCAGGAATAGAAGCATTGTGCTCCAGCAAAGCATGTCTTGCAGGTGGTGGGGGCCTGGGATGGATCATTGGACTATCTGAAAGCACCGAACCGTAAATGGAATTAATATCCTGTGCAGGGAGACACACGTCGTGCCTCCAGATATTTCAGCCGTAGCTTGAAGAGCAGTTCTGCACATTGTTAGTCATTTAAAAACCTTATTCTTGTTGTCATAAATGTGCCAGGCTGTGATGGTCTGTGACGACGCATTGAGGTCGACTGCTTTTGAGGCGCCGCTGATTTTATCATTAGATAATGCCTGCGTGTCTGATTTGGGTCATTCCGCCCATCCACTGGATCAGTGCCTGGATGACCGTGTGCGTCTCCTCAAGATCAGCCAATGGGCTGCTGGTTTCATCAGTTGACGGCCCCTTTTGGTATATATGCCTCTGACTCCGCCCACAAACAAAAACCAGCACTGATTATTTCGCTTATCGAATCAGTCTAAAACCGATTTTGTGTTCTAAGGTGATATCTAGCCTCTAATTAGCCGCTACACTGCATTCCGGGTGTATCACCGTTCGATCGTTAAGTCAGCAAGCTCTGAAATTCTGCTCTGGGATCAGATGTTGATGTTTGCCTGCCCCGGAGCTGGGTGGGTGTGTCGCTTATCACCTGTGGTGGGGGGGGGGGGGGGGGGTTATGCCTGCATGTTTTTTGAGATGCCTTGAAATGCACATGACTTGGATTTACACTCCAAAAAAATGTAGACACTGCTAGTTAATCACCCCCCATTAGAGTTCAGGCTGAGCATTAAAAGCATAGATTGATGTCAAATGTGCAATGATAGCTCTAGTAATTCCTACAAATTATACTGTGACTGAGTCAGTACCTCAGTCTGTGATTATTCCTTGTAGTGGGACAGTTTTGAAAACTTGACCAGCCTCGAATTAGGAGTAAACATAAGAGAGATATTTACACAGAGAAAGAGGTCTTTACACAGATGCGTGTCACTTCCTGCATCCTGTTTGTAAAGACACTTGCGTGATGATGGGCGCGATCCTTCATTGCCACATGTTTTTCTTGCAGCCCCCGGTATCCGTGCCTCTCCGGATACCCTCAGCCAACAGGAGCGCCCGCGACGAAAAGACGCTGTCTGAGATCAACTGTGAGTCCCCCGTCTGCGCATGTGAAGGCGTCACATGGGGGCAGTCTATGGCTCAGTGGGTTACGACGATGTGCCTGTGATCGGGAGGTTGCTGGTTCAAATCCCAATTGCTCTCAGGGATCTAACCCTGCATTGTCAAAAAAGGAATGTATGCGGCTTTTGGGTGAAAGTGTCTGCTCAGTAAATGAGATGTAAACATCAATAAAATGTCAATATAATTCCCGTCACCGATCGGGCTGCGCATTTCTGGCGCAGTCGTCACCGTGCCCCTGTCCTCCCTTTAGTAAGGTCTGACACTGACCGTCAGCACGAGCAGGAGTTTGATTTGATCTCTTACTAGAAAGCAGACTCGGTGTGGTCCATCTTTAACTCTTCATGCGTGGACCAGCTGTCACTGTAAAATATTCTGCAGATGATGTATTAGTTTGGAAAAGTGGGGATTTGGAAAGCGTATCCGGTAGCGGACCCAGGGGAACCAGTATGAGACTTGATACCGATCAAAATGGTCGCACTTGGTTTATGTGGTGTTTATCCTGCGACCCCCCACCACCACCACCACCACCAGTGCCATTGTGAACCATGTGTACGTGTCACCGGCGTGATTAACCCCACCAAATCGTTTTACAGTTGACAAAGTGAAGTTCGACCCCCCCATGAGGAAGGAGACAGAGCCTGACCATAAGCCGGTGAGTGACAGTACTGCCACCCCCCCCTCCCCCCACACCCCCGTCGCAGTGACTGCCCTGACTGTCTGGTTGCTCGTGTCTGGTAGCCTACATCGCCCCCTGCTGTCTGTAGCTTGCACGTCCCCAGCCCAGTTGGCTCGCCGCAGCCCACATGTAACAACACTTGTTAACTAACAAGTTTTCACCGTCTTGTTTGCGTCTGGTAGGTGACTTGAACCTACACAGGTGCGATTAATTTCTAACGGTTCCTACCTTAAGGAGATTTTGCGCTGTGCTGTTTGGCTGTGAGGTACATGCTTAGGTTACAGACCTGCACGTCTCCTGTGTACTTTTTGCCCTGATTTGAAATGCGGTTCTGGCAGTGGATCGTGAAGCAGGTGGCTTTTTGACCAAACAGATCCCTACCTCGGTCTCCATGCATGGCCTCATCCGCACACACGAGCCCCCCCCCCCCCCCCCCCCCCACCCCCCACCACAGGTGATAAGCGACACACCCACC